TTTTATTTATTTTCATACAATAAGCGACATGCCAGCCCAAAAGGGGAGAATATATTAGGTTGGCAAGAAAGTTCTGCGACACACTTTCAAATTTTTGTTTTTAATTTTATCTTTTTTGTTTACAACTCCTGACCGGTCTTGTATCTACCATGAGTGTCCTCCGCTTGTCTTCAACGCTCAAAAAATTTCTTGATGCTCCTTTGCCAAAACCCAGCGGAGTGTGGGTCGAGAAAGGAGGCGACCTCACTTTCGAGTTGGAGTTGATCGTCTAATTATTTCGTCATCAAGATGCTGATTTAAGGTCTAGGATGGGTGCAGTTATTCATAGCTCGACCAGGGGAAAATACGCTCGAAAGCGCTGATAAAGCTGAAACACGCTGTAGCGGTGCACGACATGCCTATTGAAGCGATTGCAGATAGTGTTGGTCTTTGACACGAATCCACAGTTATGGAGACATTTGTACTAGACAGTGACTCGGAGTGTGGATTTACCAGTGGTCGGGGTTTTTGAATTTTCTTGGATAACTATTGACTGCAGCACTTAGATCCACCTCGTGGATTAAAGCCACGAGAATGTTCTACCATTTGTTAGTCATAAATGTTACCTATTGATTTTTCAAAAAGAAAAGAAAATTTAGAAAAGTGTGTCGCAGAACTTTCCTAATGCACACACCTACATTATTTTAATGGGGAATGGTGTAATCCGAAGTGTTATGTGTTTAGGTTTATTTTGCTAGGTATTGTAGCACAAACTCAGGGGTACGTGGGCAAGTGGCAAGCTTACCACGCGCCCGGTCGTTCTGGGTAGAGCTCCATCGGGTCAACCTCCTTCCATCCCTCCGGGGTCGGTTAATTGGGTACCAGACTTGTCTGGGAGGATAAAAACACTGACTTGAACATCGGCTGGCCCCCGCAAGTCATTGTATAGGCCACATCGCATTCAAACGCCACTACGAATGTACAAATGGAAGTAGAATGCGTGCCGCATCCCAAAAGGGATTGATCAACGGCAAATGCTTTATCCTTTTTTATTTTATAATGCGAAATAAAAACAGTAAAAATTTTACATAATTAAAACGGTTAAATACATTTACGAAAATTAGTTCATGTGTGAAATTTTCTATGGCCAATCATTATAAAAATTTATGGCCATATAATTTGTAGAAAGAAACCCATTTGCTAAGTTATGACTTCAGTTGCGGCCGACCATAAAAATACAACTCCAGCCACTCAGCTCTACGAATTTTTACCTTATTTATACCAGTATACGCTATTTGCTTCAATTAATCTTATAACAACTATTTCTACGGTGTGCTAGCAATCCTTCTTGAATTAAATACATAATGGGCCAAAGCTGTTGAAGGATTTCAGTGTTGTGTCAATTTCAGAAAATTTGCCACCGGACATGTGCATTTTCAACTCAGTGACAGATGACTTGACCACGCTGGATTCGAACTGTACGAGCCTGATTGGTCTCCTCTATTATAGCCATCGATCATTTTCGGAGAAAGAAGTGGAAACATTGAAGCGTATACGCAACATTTATGGCAATATCGATTTCGATAACATGACTATCACCGACTTATCAATGTTTTCAGGACTGGAGCGACTTATTTCGCTGAATCGTGAGTTCTTAGGCGATAAAAAGTATAATCTAAAAATTTCTCCTCTCTCTTTTGTTTGAACTTAAAGCCACAAGCCGGGGTCAGGTCCCAAGAGCCAGTCCCTTCTAGAGTGAGAAAGAGGGGTCCTCAAGAGCAGAAGACACGACACTGTCACGACTAAAGTGCGAGGCAACGGCGCTAAGGCGTTGTCTTGTGTGCTGCCGTGCTGCCGTAACTACAAACCACGAACCCGGCCTCTGCACCATCTCGCTTACGACGCACTATTTCGCGTTCTCCCTCTCTCGCAGCTGTGTCTCTACGTTATACCAAGCGGCCTTATGAAGGAAAT